ATATCGGCTGATATCTTGTTACCGCGGAGACCATCTCTCAGGGTAGAGCCGTTCGTGTAACCGCTACGAGCATCCCACATCCTTGAGAGTATTCGAAGGAACTTCTGTGTACGGGCCGGCTTCGCCATTCTAGCGATAAGGCCGCCATGGATATATGTGTGCATTTCGGGGGCGACAGCTTCGATGGCGACACCAGCCTTAGCGCCAGGTCTGCGGTTGAGGAAGTCTGCTGACGGAGCACAAAGATGGATGATCTTTGCGTGACTTAAACTAGGATATTCTTGGAGGAGATGGGCAATGTCGTCGATGCGGGCTTCCGCGTGTTCATCAACAACCACAAATTCCACACGGTCCTTCTTCATGCCAGCATCCCTGAGGAATATATCCGTATCTTCCGTGCTATTACAGACCAGAGACTTCACACCGATCAACGCAGCCTGGAGAAGATCCCGAGTGGTGTCGGTCGGTGAAGAGAGAAGAACCATGGCGTCGGAATTGATGAGGTTTAGTCGGTATGCTTGCATCAGGGCCTTCTCTTTCGCGGTTTCTGCAGATTCGTGTATGGTGACGGGAATTCGAAACCAGAACTGCGAGCCTTTGTCCAATTCGGATGAAACACCGACATCACCATGCATGAGCTTCACTAGGGAAAGACAGATAGATAATCCCAGACCCGTCCCGCCGAATTTGCGTGTCGTAGATTGATCAACTTGACTAAACGGTTGCCAGAGATTCTTCATGTCGTGCGGAGACATGCCAATGCCCGTGTCTGCAACAGACCATTTCAGCACAACTTGATTTTCGCCACAAGGAATCTCTCCCGATTGGTCGACCGAACAGACGGCCTTAACGGAGCCCTTTTCGGTGAACTTCAAAGCATTGCCAAGAAGGTTCATGAGAACTGTGTCACCATCAGTACATATATCGCTCGATCGGGTGTCCTTACCTTGCTGTAAGCGGGACAGATCACCAAGTATATAGAAAGGGACATCAGGGCAGACAAAGAACGACAGGTCGAGACCACGTTTGACTGCCTGCAAACCGCATTAAACATATATATCTGGCGCAGACTCAGCAGAAGACGTACCAGGTGAGTCAGAAGCTCGACAGCATTGCCAACCAGGTCTTCAACGTTCAATGGAATGGATTCTAGTTTTACAGCAGATGCTTCCAGCTTCGAATAATCCAACAACCCGTCGATGATCTGGACGGGTTCAGCCATGCAGAAGACCAGTTGAAGATACCAATACGAACCTCAAGGAGCAATTCGCATGATTGTCGCGCTGTTTGGACCAACTCACGCTGTTCCCAGTCCAGATCGGTGGTACTGAGAAGATCCAGAAGACCATAGAAAGAACTGAAGGGGGTACGAAGTTCATGGCTCATGGAGGCCACTGCAGAGGAGTTAGTGATATGCGTGTCTAAAGCGAAGCACAAATTTTGCGCACAAAAATTGCTCTTTGTCTGCAACACCCATTAGATTAGGCTTGGTAGGGATAAAATTTCATGTACGTGCCTTTGCAGCCTTTAGCGCGTCCTCCCTGCTCCGTCTCGCTTCTTCTAAGGCTTCCTTTTGAGAATTGATCATGCGGATATTGTTTCTTGTAGCCTTCGTCACGTCTTGGAATAGCAAGCAGTTGGTGATGGATATTGATGCTTGTTGGGCGAGGACCGTCATCATGGTGACTATCGAGGGCGCGTAGGCGTATGGTTTCGAACTGGCCATATAGATACAACCCATCATGTCTCCACGCCCAGCGTGATATATTGGGAAACAAAGGATCGTCTTGTCCAGGCTGCTCTTGGCCGCAACGGAATATCTTGGATCCTCGGTCGCATCTCTTTGATAGACGGGTTCCTTGGAATGAATGACTGTTAGAGAGACATAAGCGGTGGTCACATGCCGTTTCGGACTTGTTCACCTTGCTGCATGATTTGAACTGCAAGGGGATCCTCCAGTTCCGACAGTGGGATTGGTTCACTATAGACATTGTCACACTGTGAACAAGAAGGAAAATAGAAGCGACGTACTCATGCATTTGAACTGGTTCCGGAGGGTAGACCGAGCTGGAAACTGCCATGTCCCCATGATCAGCACGAATAACCACAACTACCTTGTCGGACCCCGAAGTGGCGGCCATGTCGTTGGTCAGTTTTTCGAGTGCTGCATTCGTTGAGCACACTCGGTAGAAAAGTACAGGCCCATGACAATACGCACAGACAGAGAGATTGATTTCGCTAGAAATCACTTGCGTCCATTTGACTATTGTACCGTTAGCCCTTTTGCCATTACGCATGCGTGGGAATGCTCACTGATCTCCGCAAACTGATCAGCAGATAGGCTCAGGAGCTCGCTATCGGCAAGCACACCGCTCTGCGAAAAATTGGTACGAGACGCCAGATATGCAGAGCGAGGGATGGGATCAATCTGTTCCGTCTGAGTGCCCACGTCCACCGTCACGGCCCTCATGAATATTGAATCCGACTTCTCGCAAGATTTCTCCATCGAGATCTATACAATGATATCAGAAAAGCATGTGGAAGCTTGGCGTGATAGCGTACGACAATGCCAAGCGCGCCCCATTGGTTTTGTCGACCGATTCCACGACGCTGCATTTCGCTCCCAAAGCTCCTGCGGCAAGTTGAGAAAGTGATGCAAACAGAAGCTTCAAATGCTTACACCTGGCACATCGGATGAAATGAGAGCCAGCCTGATAACAATTGTCAGTAGGCGCGGATGACAATCACGGGCAGTGGTTTACTAAGTACAAGGCCCATCCCTCTTCCAAGCTTCCAGTTGACGTCAGCAAGGTATTCCAATTGCACAGGAGATATCACGCACATCCAGTCATTGTCTGAGGCAATCTTAATGGCGATGTCATATAGTTTCAATGCGTCAGCTCCTTCAGTGAGCGACGCAAATTCAGCATCCATGAGAGCAAGCCAATGCATTGTGTTTTTTGGTGATTGATGCTTGAGCCCACCTGCCGAGATAATGAGTGTCGAAGCAGGTTGACAGCAGCATCTGAGCGTACTTTCTGACGTACTCCTGATTGCTTCGGATTTGCTCCAAGTATCTCGCTCGGTCGACAGGATCA